TACTGTGGGCAGAAATCAGGGTGCCGTGGGTGCAGCTCCCCTCTTTGGCTCATCCCTGTGGTAGCTGTACATCTCACACACTCCTCCCCACCACACTGCCGGCCCCTGGGAGGAGCACCCTAAATACAGACGCCGCCTTTGCAGTCCTTCGAGGCTCTGCTGTCACCTGCAAGATGAAGTCCAGGCTCAGCGTTTTACACACGCTCCCCTCCGCTGGCCCTGCACACCCCTCCACGCACACCCTTACCCCATCCACACTAGCGTGTGGCGTCATCTGGTTACCTGCAGTTCCCCAGACCTACCAAGCTGGTTAAAGCCTCCAGCCTGGACGAGCGCTGTGCCCGTCGCCTGGAATGCGCTTCCTTCCTTGTTCGCTAGTCAGCTTCCACCTCCGAGCAGTTTCTGTCTTTTCGGTTGTGCAGCCTCCTTTGACCACTTCAAATAGTTACTTTTCTACTTAACCTTCATTGAGCACTCACCTCTGTGCCAGGCGTGCCAACCCTTAGCACGCATCTTCTCACTCAACCCTCGTGGTCCTGGGAGGTGGGCACTAGTGTCCACACAGGGCCCTTGAGAACATCACGTGGACTGAGTGCCAGGCTCAAGGTCACGTAGCCTGAGCTCTTAGCCGCCCGGTGACACTGCCTTCTCTGGGCTTCCCTTCTTGTGGTCTTGTCGTTGTAGCCTTGTGTGAGTGCCTCTGCCTTTGTCTCTGTCCTGCCCCTAGCCTGGAGCAGAGGAGACGGGCAGCGGATTGTTGGATGGAGAAGGCGTTGGGGCTGTGCTCGTCTTTTACGTGCTGCATAAACTTCTTATCCAATCTTTTCATTTCTTTGTGGGAGCTGTTTCTTGAGACTTTGTTTACAGCCATCTGCGTGGGTGTTTTAGGCTAACTGTGGGAATTCAGTGCCACAAAATCTTTTTCAGTTTCTGGCCCATGGCAGCACTGTACGTAGTATTGTGAGTACTGTAAAAGGGAAGACAGACATGGTCCCGGCCCTCCATCTGCAGAGATGAGACTCACCACATGGGATGCAACTAGCAATTAAAGACAGTACATTTGTGTGTTTGTATTGAGTATGTGATTACATAACATGCAGATTCTTCAGCATGACGTACAAGGCCCTTCCCAATCTGACTGTAGACCCCTTTCCCAGCTTCACCCGCTCCTCTCCCAGAGGCCCCTAGACCCCAGCCATACTGACATGTTGTGCAGCTCTCTGAACTCACCATGCTCAAATGTCTCTGTTCCTTTGTACATCCTGTTCCTTTTGCCAAGAATGCCTTCTCCTTCCTGTCTGCCTGGCAACTTGGTACTCATCTTTTATGACAACCTTCAGTGCTGCTTCCTTTAGACCTTTTTCTTTGGGTTTTCATGGCCTTTGCACGTTTTTCTGTAGTGTGACCTCATCATATATACTAAAAGTTAATTTTGTAAGGCTGTTCTGCCTTTTCAGTGTTGAGCTACTCGTGGGCAAGGCCTTGTCTCTCAGTGATGGAAAATTGAATGAACGACAGGATAAAAACTGGATGAATGGAGGGGAAGGAGTGATGATGTTCCAGCATGGCTGGCTGTCAGTCAGGAATCACACTGGAGCGCAAGACTAGACATCCGAATAAAGTGGCTTGAAGGGAGGAGGGTTCATTCGCTCACGTGACACAAGTGTGGAGGTAGGTGGCTAAGTGCTGGTGTGGGCGTGCCATGGTGTCATCAGGAGCCAGGCTCTGTCACTCTGCTCGGCCACCTTCAGTGCATGGCTTCCTTCCTCAAGGTAATGTCACGGCTCCAAGTGACTGCTGGAGCACAGCCATCTCGTCTAGTCCAGACGGGAAGGCAGAGAAGGGCTGTGAGTAAAGGAAACGCGTTCTCTTCGCAGAGGCAGCCTCCTTTAGAAAGATTTCTCGGGGTCCCATCAGCTCCACCCTCGTCTCAGGCCAGAATGCAGCACATGGTCACCTCCCGCTGGATTTTGAAGAGAGAAATATATAGTAATAGATACAGGTTCTTTGTGCATTTAACTTAAAATGACATTTCTTAAAAAAAAAAACAGCTCTTAGATCTGAATACACATTTCTCCAAAGAAGATATAAAGTGGCCAATAAGCACGTGGGAGGATGCTCAGCATCATTAGTCATTAGGGAAATGCAAATCAAAACCACACTGAGATACCACGTCACGCCTTCTAGGATGGCACTGGAATCAAAAAGACATAATAACGTGTTGACAAGGACGTGGAGAAATTAGAAACCTCACGCGTTGCTGGTAGGAATGTAAAGTGGTTCAGCACTTTGGAAACCAGCCTGGCAGTTCCTCAAAATGTTAAACATTGAGTTACCCTGTGACCCAGCAATTCCTCTCCTAGATACATATCCAAGAGAAATGAAACACCTGTCCACACAAAAACTTGTACGTGAAATGTTCACAGAAGCACTGTTCATAATAGCCAAAAAGTGGAAACAAGCAAAATGTCCACCAAATAATTGATCAACAAAATGTGATACATCCATGTAATGGAATGTTATTCTGCTATAAAAATGAAGTACCGATACCTGCTATAACATGGATGCACCTCAAAAACATTATGCTAAGTGAAAGAAGCCAGTCAAAAAAAGCCACACATTATGTGATTCCATTTGTATGAAACATCCAGAACAGGTGAATCTATAGAGACAGAAACCAGATGAGTGGTTGCCTAGGGGTGAGAGGGAGTGGAGAGTGACCGCTAATGGGTTTCTTTTTAGGGTGATGAAGATGTTCTAAAATTAGTGGTGTTGGTTGCACAACTTTGAATATACTAAAGATCACTGTACACTTTAGACAGGATTTAAAAGAATTATATGATATGTGAATATCTCAAAAAAGCTGTTCTAAAAATCACCTTTTATCTGTTTGTAAGACATATCTTCAAAATTAACTTCAAAAGAAAGAAACTAGGGGGCAGGCGGGTCAGGAAAATTTCTTCAAACCAGTTAACATGTCAAGGATTGAGCCCTGGCTTGTTAAGATCAGATTCTTCTGGCTGGTTGCCCAGACGGCCAAGATTCTGAGTGGTTTCTTTGTTCTGTAGACTTATCATCTCAAAAATGAACCTATTTTTTCGAGTCTCCATAGCTGAGGAATAGAGATGCCAGGGGGTCAGCAAACAGACATAGGAAGCCACTTGATCTGCAAACCAGCGGGCTGTCAGGAGGGCTTGCTCTGTGGGATTCTTGCTCCCTGGAGACTTGGTTGCTGATGGAGGGGCAGGGGCAGCTTGAAGGCTGTGGGGAGGTAGTGTCAGGTTTGGAAAAGCCTCTGTGCCAGGAGTCTGCAGACAGGTGACTCCTGACCAAGAGCTCTGTCTCTCTGAGCCTCTGACCCCTCATCAGTGAAACCGGGGAGAGAAGAGCCTTCTCACCCCACGATGGTCACACTAGATCACGGCCATGAACCTGCTCTGTGAACGACGAGGGTGTGCATCAAGTGGCTCCAGAGGACAGACTTTTTATTTTTTAATTTTTATTTATTTTTGTGAGGAGGACCAGCCCTGAGCTAACATCCAATGCCAATCCTCCTCTTTTTTGCTGAGGAAGACTGGCCCTGGGCTAACATCTATGCCCTTCTTCCTCTACTTTATATGGGATGCCGCCACAGCATGGCTTAACAAGCAGGCGACAGTGCACACCCAGGATCCGACCTGGCGAACCCTGGGCCGCCACAGTGGAGCACATGCACTGAACCGCTTGTGCCCCGACAGACGGGGTTTGAAAGGGAAAGAATGAGGACTGTCTGGCAGGAGAAGAGGCCTTGGGTGTGGTGGGGAGTGGCTGTCAGGATGGAAGGTGGTAGAATTGATGGGTGGAAGGCTGTGGTAACAAGGATTGTCGAAGGCGCTGGCCAGCGGTCCTTCCTCTGCTGCTCTCAGGGCCGACATTACTAGCAAGTGTGCGGGTTGGGGCCATTTAAGCCAGACAGCAGGGACAGCTGCTGACACGGCATGGAAATGCGAAGGTGGTCGGAGGGGCCCCCACCCCTCTGCTTGAAGCTTCCCTTAGATCCCTCTTTCCCATGTGTTCTGGATTCTTGAG